TTGGGTACAGGTAAGCATTTCTAACAGCTGTTCATGTCGCTGAAAGGATTCTGCCATTGTGCGCAAAACTTCATCCATCTTGTAATTCAGTTGAAATTCAATTACTCTACTTCGAACTTCGATCTACTCTCGCTTCAGCCTTGATCTTGCGGGCCTTGTGGTACACTTATATCTTGCGGTCGAGGACTCCTTCATTCAGTTCGTCGATTTGGTCGTTCCGGTGGATCAATAAGTCTGTAATCTCTTGGATGGCGTTGCGCGCATCGGAGTTCTTCGCTTCTGGGATCTGGGCACGCAACTTGTTGATAACCACGCGTTGGTGACGGGTTAACACGTAAAGCTTTTGGCGTAGCTTAACCAGCAGATTCGGATAGTCGAATAGTTTGCCGAAGTCTTTGTGGACGCGAGTCGGGGCTTGCGGGTCTTGCTACGGGGCATACACTAGCAGATCACTCAGAACGTATACGGATTTTGTTGCTGAGACTATCACCAGGTGACGGGTAGCAAAGACCACGTTTTTAAAACCTTTGGCGATGTGTAGACTGTCGGGGCTTGGGCGAGGTAACCAGGAAGTGCTACCAATTGTAGCACTGCGGGGGGAAGCGTGTGTAGTTGAGGGCAAAATGCACAATGAATTAACTGAAGATCTACAAAGATCTTCTTAATCCTCATGACTATGAGATATTCTTAATCTACTTCACTAATTCTACACTAATATGCACTTTTGTATACAATGGATGCGGGTGCGGTTGAGACATTGGGGAACTTCACTAGGCTAGCGATTCTAAGCCATACTTGCCCTTGAGACACATCCCCAGGCAAGCATTAGCTAGGGTACGTCATGGAGCCAGGTACTTAGGAGCTGGGTGCGGGCAAGGTGGTGGCAAGAAGTTACCCCCACCTGCCACATCGCTACAGTTAGCAGGAATATTCTAACGCTACCGTACAGGAGGCTGCGGGAAATGATCAACTTTACGATCCTCAAACGATATGGCAGTACATTGTTCATCATCACCATACAATACGCTAGAATCAAATCGAGTTCAGCCCGAGGAAGAAAGCAGTGGTCACTACTTTTACTGTTAATTGCCATTTTGAAGGATTGGCATTGTCCAGAATCGATTGCGCTGAGTTGCTGGACTACACACAAAACAGTTGAATACTGGTAACTTTTAAGAATATGACATGTAAATGTTAAAAACATATAACATAACACATCAATGTTATGTTATAATTGTTTAATATTTAAATGTCATATTTTTAAAAGTTATTCTTATGCTATACTATTAATAGTAAATTATACTTGTAGCTCAAGGATGACAATAAATGTTTGTCATCTTTACGCTATATTTGTAGTTTCCGCCAAAATGCTGACTTTGATGTGCTGCTTCGTGGCTTAGAGATCGCCAATCAAAGCAAGAACATGGTAACGAGTACAGAAGCATCGATACCACGTAATGAAGTGTCATAGACGGTGTTACAATGCTTATTGCAGGATATAATCACATCCAAAGTAAGCTATAGTTCATTTTTTGCCATGTTTGAGGTCACACATGCTAACAGTAAATAAGTGAATCGCCACACATCACGTCTTATTATCTAGCCCGCAACTATGTCTTCAGTTTTCATATTAATTCTATCAAGCCCAGACAAGCCGTTGCTGAGCAATTCAAAGTTATGTGCTTTCTGGATAGTTAACATTGTCATGCTATATTCGATGTTATCTTTTTAAATTATGACATATTTATTTTATATTAAAAATACGTCACGGTATTCTTGTGGAATGCAGTGGATACTTTTCAAAAATGCATTGTACAGTCAGTGTAACTGGCGGGAAAAATTTGAAGTACGTTTTGAAAAATCGGAATAGAATACAAAGTCGACTTGCACCAAAACTCGTCTCCTTCTTCTAGACATACGTTTATCCTCGCTTATGTCGCCGAGGACGGCTACGTTTCTCATTTCCCGCAGCCTCCAGGAATGGTAAATACAGTATACTGTACCTGTATAAGTGTGTTTTTTGTATCTACACAGCTAGATTTTTTGGTGACCAAAAGCGTTGAACCTACGGAGCAATTATTATGGAATGGTATACTTGCGTTAGCTTGTTTGTACCAATATAGCACTACATACATGTATACTAGTACTACGTAGTAATACATGTATGTCATACTATTAGTAGTAAGTAATAAACAATAACAAGCCTTTTTTTGTTCGACTCTGCTGTTGCTGGTTCGTACGCATTCCGTGACTTGGCGTCCTCGGAATCATCCGTGTGGTGGCTTCCTGGACTCGTCCAAATTGCGATCCAACGACAGTCCGAAAATATTTCTACCAATCCAACGCAAGTACCAAAAATGGCTCCAATATTTGTTATTGGCGAAAACGTTGTTTTCGACCGTGCGGGTACGTTAACCTGACCGCATTCTTGAATATCGTGTCGCCATTGCCCACATGATCAAGCGAATGACGTCACATACCACCGCCACCACCGCTGGTTTACCTGCAGAAGAAGTGTATGCCGTGGACTTTCGAGTACAAATTACTCACACCTTACGACGCGACACCAAGTTCGTGCCCCCTGCTTTATGGACTTGGATGCAGGTGACTGTATCTAGCGGCTCAGTACAGCTCACACCAACAATCGACGCACAAGTGGTAGCGACAATTCCAGTGGCCAAGTGCAGCCTCACGTCATTGGACAACCATTTCTACATCTTGTGTCGAAAGGGTCTGTACACCATTCATGTGTATTGCCCCAGCAAGACTGTGTGGACCAAATTTGTCGACGTGCTGACGCTGGCCTCGTCATCAGTAAAATGGTCCGTGCCGAGCTCCAACAAGTGGGCGGATCTCGTCCAAGTGGCTGCCTCTATCGTCGAGACCGCCGATGTCAACCACCACCTACCACCTTTTCCAATGGTCCACACCTCCAGCGTGACCGTTGCCGACGTGCAAAGTCACTTGGCTGCCATGAAAGCCATGTATGAGTTGAAGTGCACGTTGAGCGCACAAGACTTGTACGAGACCTTGGTGGACCTCGAGTACGCCTACGTGGAGCTCGGGGTCGACTACAACTTTGCGCATATGGTGCACCAACTCCACCCGAAAGCGTACATGGCCCAGAAAGGGGGCGATTTGTATCGACAACAAGCGTCAAGCCTGCAGCCTTCGCTCAAGACCATCCTTCACATTTGCCCACATGACAACTGCGACATGGTGCTCACGTCATCCCAGCGTCTTCGCGTCCACATGCACCATGGAACTGTGAGCTGCACCAGGTGCTTCGGTCGGGTTTCCATGGACACGTTCAAATTGGCCAAGTTCGTCCAAAGTTATACCTCGTGTGAGGTTGAGGCTCCCATGGCGCTGAACGACAAGGTCACGATCGTCATGCCTCGTTTGCCAATCGACGGGTCGATTCCAACGTACTTGCAAGAGTTGAAAACGCTAATGGTTCGTTCCAAGGTCAGTTACAGCGCGATGAAGGCGATTCAAACCGCGGTAGACACCTATTTGAAGCCAGACCAACCTCCCATGGGATGGATGGCGTTGGATTTGGTGCACGCGATGGCGCGGCAACTGCAGTTTGTGGAAAAAGTGTGCACCAATTACACGTACTGGAACCAGCCGGTGGTCGTGGCGGCGTCCGTGGTGCGGTACCATCAGTTCATGCACATCATGGCCGCGAAGCCGTCCAACGTCACATGCCTCGTACCCACCGTGGACATTGACTTGGTGTGGCACGCCCATCAGTGCAACCCCGTCGCCTACCGAACTTTTTGTAACCGTGTGGCGGGTAAGTTGATTGACCACGATGACACAATTCCTGCAACTGCGTTGGCGCGGGGATATGCCGACACGTTTAGTCTGTGGTCCAAGACCTTTCACGGGGAAAAGTACTCGAGCTTCCCCCCGCAGGTGCCCACGACACGAGCAGCCTCGGCCGTGCCATCCTCGACATGGAAGAAGTCCAAAATGAAGGACAAACGTTATGTGTTGAAGGTGTCAACTCCGACCTTGCTCATGTGGTGGGCCCTGCCGCCGCCGCTACCTCCGACATCCGAGGGGCACACTCCACACGACTACCGGGTTCCATCATTTCACAGCCGATTTGTGGGTGTGGACGAATTTGTGGCGGACCTTCTTCTCTACAACACGACGACTAGCGCTTCGCTCGTTCAAGTTGGAGAGCAGGATGTCCTTCCAACGACCGTCGTGGCTGTGATTGGGACGCCAGTCATATCCGAGTCGTGCGTATCTGCACAAGCCAAGTTATCTGCGACGCAACTGATGGACACAGATATCAATCGCAAACGAAATGTGACAGCCGAGTTGAATCGATTTCGCGACTGGTGTGTGGCTCACGAAAGAAGCACAACTCCTGTGGCGAAGGCTCCTCCTACCAAACAGCCGGTTGTAGCCAAGCCGTCTTCGATGACGGCGTATTCGTCAAGTGCAAACTACTACGATACGCCAACATATTCGTACAATTACTCAAGTTCGTACGCAGCGAATGCGAGCTCTACAACGTCCTGTGGCAATTCCTCCGGCACAACGTCGGGCGACTCTGGGGGGGATGGAGGAGGAGGTGGGACGACGTCGTCGAGTGGTTGCGGTGGTGGTTGTGGCGGGGGATGTGGGGGCGGCTAAGGTGGAGATAGCGCCCCAGGCCAATCACTGATAAATTACTTGGTCAATAAAATAATACAATGTTGTGAATCTTCTCTCCCTACGTGTGGTTCACTGATAAGGGTTACGTAATATCAACACGTGAGATTGCCCCAGAAAGCTGAATATATTCAAAGGCAACACAACGAATGGCGAGTAAATAACCTGTAGTAGGAGTGCGCTCACTTGATTTTGCGTGGTGATGTTTCTGCTGGTGTGGACTCACCTGAATAGACGATCACGCAAATGACATTTCAAGTTGAGAGTAGAGGCTAGCTACATGATCGAAATCTCTTCGCAGGGAAATGACCCTAACGTTGCTGTACAGTACATATCCGTTAGCAGCTCCTTTAGTGGTTGGGAGTCGTCTTGGTTGAGTTTTCTCGTGCAGAACCCAGCGGGATTTCTGCATCCTTCAAAATAGTAACATCAGTAGCAATTGTGAAATTGGTGCGTCAGCACATCTAAAACGTAGTAGTTAGTAATACTAACGTAACTAATAGTATTGACTTGTGAATACTGGCACTATTGATAGTTAGTGTCGACACAAATACACTAACTATCAATAGTATGTCACGAGGTGGGGTTTGTCAAAAAGTGAAAAAAGAATAGCACTTCCTGGTTTCGATCCAGGGACCTTTGGGTTATGAGCCCAACACGCTTCCTCTGCGCCAAAGTGCTGATGGTTTTTCCTTTATCAAAACAAAATATATATTCAAATCATAACTTTACATAAATTTACCAACATGTGCCTGTAAGTTAACGTTACCAAGTTTAGCCACAGTTGAGATGCCAGACTGAATGGTACAGTGAGTGTACTACTCACTATACATATAGTAAGACTTGGTGATGATTCTCATACCGTTCGTTCCGTTCAAAGCAATCATCACAACAAATCTTAGATCGATCGGCTAATCAAAATATCGTGAAGTCTACAAGGTTTCGATGACATTCACAACTCTCCCTCAAGCATACAGTATATATCAAGTGTAAAGCAGCAATCCAGGAGGACCCAGACTCCCCATGACAATAAATTTTCTGACGTGAACCTTATCACGTTGATATGCCTGTTCGTTTTCTCTGCTTTTGCTAGAATCCAAACGGTATGAAAATTCACCATAGCACAAACCCTGCTTGGGTCTCAAGTAGTAAGTACTACTAGTATACTACTAGTAATATGCCTTTGAATACAACACATGTTCTCGGGGTTTTAGTGATTACTCAAGCTTAATTGTCGTTCTTTTTAAACATTTTCTTGAGCATGCCACCCAGCCCCGACTTTCGATTCGCGTCTTCTTCGTAGTAAATGCTGTTGTTGCTAAGTAGTTGGCCACCGTCCTCCTTGGGCAAGACCCCACTGCCTCGAAGGTTGTCTGCGGTGCTCCCATTGCTGTGCAAGTTGCTGGAGGGTCGCTTCTGCTGATCTATCGACGTTCCTGGCATAGGCCCGCGCCTTTGCGTTGCTACCACCGACGGCTCGTACGTAGATGGGGTCACCGACCTAATACAGTATATATATAAAACACACCGCCAGCCAAATGAGCATTCGAATATATATATGTATATATATATATATATCCAAAGGAATACACATATATACACGGGATGATGTATATATATATATAAAACACACCGCCAGCCAAATGAGCATTTCGAATATATATATATATCCAAAGGGATATTATAGATATATAGACGCGATAATGTATATATTTATATAAGTGAATGCAATGGAATGATGAACTTACGTGCGGCGCTGGGGTGCATGGTGCACACTCGATGACCCTTCAAACACTTGGCGTACTTTAGCTTGCACGTCGTGATGGACGTGATGGTCGGTCAGTACTTGCAGCACATTCTACCGGACATATAAAGTCATACCATCGCATATATATATATATATATGTCCAGGGAGTAAAATATATATCTCCATGGAATATTTAAGGATTATATCTCTCATAGCATCGCATACACCATGGTGTGTATTCTAAACCCACGCGACAAGGAGACTAAATCGTCACAACAACCAAAAAGTACTTTAGAATCAGCAGGATGATTTTCTGCAATACTGTGATTGGCTACACATAAATACATTTGGCCAATCACATTACAGTACAAACCAATCTTCAACATACAATCAGCAGGATGATTTTCTGCAATACTGTGATTGGCTACATATAAATACATTTGGCCAATCACATTACAGTACAAACCAATCTTCATCATACAATCAGCTCAAACAACAACTTATCCACATCTACACTGTGTGAATCGTGGGCAGGACAATATTTTTACAAAAGTCCGTAATGGATAAATAATAAAATCCTCTTTTTTTATAGTTTAACACATCACAGTATAGAAAAACACATAATACAAACAATAGGTGTGGACAAAAGTCCAGTGCGTTTTTTGGGTCGTCCAAGGACAATACATTTGAACTATCTATCAATCAATCAAAATCAATCTATCATTCTATCAATCTATCAATCTATATCCATCGTACCTCTT